TGAAAATAATGGATCATGCACGTTGTTATTTTTTTTTTTCTTTTGCTCAAGAATTGTTGTAACACTCTCTATATTTTTATCAAATAAAGTCATGTGCCATTTAATGACCGTCCTCTTCTCGAAATCGCTGAGCGAGGCAAAACTAAAAGACACGATGGCTTGTGCATATTCTTGTATACTACCTACGCTGCCGTAGACCATTAATTCATATGGACATGGTCTAGGTTTAGTGGAAATTGGATATTCTTTTCACTCAAGTCCTTTTCGTAAGTAATTTCAACAATATTGTCATTTTGAATTTTCAGTACATAATTTCAACTAATAATACAGCACCAAAGGTCTATGCTTTTTGTTTGATTGTAACATACTACGTATAGTCAAGCACAAAATCATTTATCTATTATTTCATTGGAAAAGACTATAATAGTGGACTTAGGATTGGTCTGTATAATTGGTCTTATTAAAATAATAATTTAGCACCAAGTCATTAGAAAGGTCAATGCTCTATGTGTTTCATCGTAAAAGACTATGAAATTTACGTAGAGTGGGTCTTAAAATCAATAATGTAGGACCATAGAATTGGAAAGATCTACATGAGAAAAATGAATAAATCATTTGGAAAGGTCTATAAATGGTTTGCGTATTTGGATGATGGACTGGACGAGAAGTAAACCAAAACTAGCTAAAATGAAGGGCCCTTTGTTGAGCAAGAATGAGCATACCACAATCAATAGCGATTCATCATCATCATCAGATGAGCACATCGTCGACGTGGCAGCCAATTTCGATTTTGCATCAATTATGCAAGCACCAAACAGCAAATGGGCAACTGCTCTGAATGTGTTCGACTTGGTTATGTCTTTGGTCCAGCTTATTGTAGCCACGGTAATTGTGAAAGGAGCAAAAGGTGATCACCCAGAAGCAACATGGATCATCGTTTATGCTCGTGCTTGTTTTGCCAATATCCCTGTTCTATGTTGGGGTTTCTTCCGTTACCAAAGTGCTACCTCAGAGATTAGGTATATAAATTAAACTATGTTATGGGTAAGTGAGTCAGTCTTTCCAACATCAGGGGGAGAAAATAAAACAGCTGGAGAAAGATTAAAGTTAGAATGAATTATCATCGATCCTGAGACGATATTATGTGAAATAAAATCTCCAAAAGATAATTCATTCAGAAAACTTACTGTATCAATTGCCAGATACAATTACTCACCCAAATATAGTGTTGAGTCACTTATCAGCTGTAAATGCTCTAAGAATAATTGATTTCCCAGAAAGACAATATCAAACTGCTAGTAAGTCTAAAGAGCATATGAAGTGTGATAGACTTCTTGGTTTTAAATATTAGTGACCTCGGTAAAGTAAAATGAGCATAAATTGACAATGGTTAACCGAGGAAACAAATGTTTGAAACCAAGAAGTCTATCACACTTCATGCGCTCTTTAGACTTACTAGCAGTTTGATATTGTCCTTCTTCGTCAGTGCATGGATGTAGTTGATGATTTTAATTTTTAATTTTTAAGTTGACCTGTTGACCACATGAATTTATAATTGAATATAAGTGCTAAAATCACTCTGGAATATATATTTTTAATATTATTATTTAATGATTGTTGACTGCTTTGTTAAAATGAATCTTGATCAGCTTTATTAAAATAATATTGTTTGATTTTGCACTATAACTTCGTATATATTACTATTTTGAGATTGTTTATTATTGCTAAATATCATTTGATCATTGCTAATAATAATATATATTATATTATTGCATATCTGATTTAATATTATAAATAAATGTATAATTATTCCCTTGATTTGTTTTATTTATTGGTTTGATTTGGTTTAACAAATCAATTATTATTATTATATACTAATAAGTGTATTTATCTATCATTACATGATTTTAAAATGTAATAATTTTACCATTGAGTAAAAAGAAAGGCATGATCACTAGAAGTGATCTAATATAGCAATCTAAAGAAAATGAACAATCATCTGAAGTGATATGATCATGTATAGATAGCATCTCAGACCATATAAACTTGAAGTTTATAAGTGAAAATATATTACTAATAAAAATGTATAAGAAGAAATTATGAAAATATTGTTGTCCTGCAGATACAATAGCATAAATATATTTAAGGAATATTTTAAAAATATTGTTGTCCAGTAGACACAATAGCAAATAAATTCTTAAAATTAAATTTGTCACTTGAAGTGATAATAAAAAGGTAATGTTATTTATATTAATTATTTATTTTATTATATTATTATATTTTGTTTATATATATGTTTGATAATATTTATTTATTTTTCAATTATCCTCTATATGAATATTTTGTATTTGCATTTAAGATTACAAGACTTGAAGTCTATAAATGATTTTTATTTATCTGGAAGATAATGTAAATCAATGATGATAAAAGGCATATATTGTCCAGCTGACAAAATATTATTGAAGAAAGTTTAAGAAATTATTTTGATAAAATAATGAGTTACTAATGAAAATCTTGAATCTTGTCTAATTGGTTTTGATCCATTCCCTGAAGTGAATGTGATATGAATGATTAAAGATATGATCATAGACATGAATATGAATCTTTTATAGTTCATGTTAAGGTCAAAACCAAAGAGTTTTATTTCAAGAACTCAAATTCTCACAAGAAGTGAGAAAATAAAGATGCAGCAAATAAAAGATACACATCTCCAGAAGAGTATATAAATTTATATTTGCTTATAGTAAATAATTTTTGATGCATTATATCTTTGAAATCCCAGAAGTGAAAAGAATCAAACACATAATAGAAATATAAAAAGTTTAAAGAATCAAAGATATAAAACATGATTCAAGTTGGATATATTATTGATTTTATACTAGGATTCCATTCGAGATTGATGAACATGAAGTGACATCATCTCGAGGGGGAGAATGGATGAATCCCTCAATCACTAGAAAGTGGAACATCTAGAAGATTATGTTCACACTAAAAATAATCCTGATGAATCATATATAATGTAACTCAATGGTGTAAAATTATTTTGAAAAAATAACATACATTATCTAATGCCTCATCATAGACAAAGATTAAATAGGAGATGTAAATGTTATGTAGTAAACTAGAAGTTTACCGAATATAACATAGTTTGGCATGAGCTGGTTAGACCATTTCGGTTCAAGAATTATGCGAAATAAAATACATCATGTAAAGATTTATTGAAGAACTTGAAGATTCTTCTTAATTATCTATAATGTGATGTTTAATCATAAGACATTATGATTATACAATTACCAACTAGCCAAAATAGATTTGGAATGTATCCAATTTCTAGAAAGAATATAAGAAACTTTTGTGGTCTAATAAACCATTATATGGACTGATCATCCAGTAAGAGAAATGTTATGGTGTTTCTTAAATATATCAACAAGTGTTGTATGTATCAATATTACATATCTGCAACCTGAAGTTTGCGAGATTACTTGGTAGTGCTAGTGAAATCACATCTTAAATCTTTGTTGAGAAAAACATGTTTGTAAGAATAAATGTTGAACATCCAGTAGCAAATGTTCATAATTACACATAATGCAAAAGCATTAATTCGCATAAAGCCAATGAATAACTAAAATTTCTCCCCATCGTAATTGGTTTAGGTCAGAAACCAAAGTTTTCCATCTAAAGATCTATGGATGTGCAGAATACATCCATAATGCTCCACCACAACAATATAAGATGGACCCTCGAAAGAGATAGTAAATGTATGTTGGATGTTAATCTCCTATGATAATATTTAGAGCTATCCATGAAGGATTTAAATATGGCTCAATTTGTAGACTGTCATTTTAGTGATTCAGTCTTTCCAACATCAGGGGGAGAAAATAAAACAGCTGGAGAAAGATTAAAGTTAGAATGAATTATCATTGATCCTCAGACGATAGTATGTGAAATAAAATCTCCAAAAGATAATTCATTCACAAAACTTACTGTATCAATTGCCAGATACAATTACTGACCCAAATATAGTGTTGAGTCACTTACCAGCTGTAAATGCTCTAAGAATAATTGATTTCCCAGAAGGACAATATCAAACTGCTAGTAAGTCTAAAGAACGCATGAAGTGTGATAGACTTCTTGGTTCCAAATATTAGTGACCTCGGTAAAGTAAAATGAGCATAAATTGATAATGGTTAAACCGAGGAAACAAATGTTTTTGAAATGATCTCAAGAAGAGATATTAAACATGACAAGAAAGAAATTCAGGTACCTGAGACAAAGAAGAGATCTCGAGAATTAATTATGTCATGTATGGAATAAAATGGAACCATAAAAGCAAATCGACGTCGTAAATAAAATATTTGCATGCATTATAGCAGTTGATGTTATGAATGAGAAAGAGGATCATGAAACAAAGTCTATTGCATTGTGTACACAAAGTAATGATTTGGCCAAATCGAAAAGAAGCAATAGACGCAAAACTAAAATCTCTTAGAAAGAGAAATGTATTTTGGACCAGAAGTCCTTACATCTTAAAAGTGTAAAACAAGTGGGTTATAATAGGCATGTGGTGGATGCAATTTTCAAGTTCATTAAGTGTGGCAATGAAAGAAGAACTTGAGTCTTAAGACCCACTAAATAATGACATTTTTATAAAAGTCCCTGAAGGATATAATTCCTGAAGGATTAATGATATCAAAACTATGTTCCCAAAAAACTCTAATTATTTGATCAAATGAAGAGAAATACGTCTCATTGGGGTACAATCACAAAAGTGTTACCCAGTGTATATTTATAAAACATTTATGGATCAGAAGAGATCTTTAATCTAAACATCATCGAAATTCCTGAAGAATTGTTGAAATTAGATAAAAGATATTGGAAAGACAAATTTGTCTTAAGATATCTCATATTCACAGTTTAACAAAAAGATGTAATCTCAAAAGATCCTTAGAAGATTTACATAAAGAATGCTCACATTTGGTCTTGAAGTATCATACTTTAAATTATGTTTGAGAAATGTGTTGGTCTCTTTCAAAGATAAGCAAAATGAGCATGAGATAACTTATATATACAAGATATATGTTCACAAGAATTTATGTAGAAGGGAAGTTTGGCCCGAAGTCCAAATATAGACCAAGAAATAATTACTTATAATAGAAGTATATTGAAGAATACACTTATAAAAAATATCATAGACTAGAAGTTTAAATGACCTAGAAGATTATAAGATAATCATATGAGTTTATTAACTGAGGTTATACTCATAGTAATCTCCAAAAGTTGGCATTGATTATTGGAATGCATCTCTTGAAGAAGATGCTTCCAAAGGGAAGATATATGATGATATGTGTGGTTGTACTCTTTTTCCTTATCATGGTTTTTATCCCATTGGGTTTTTCCATGAAAGGTTTTAATGAGGCAACAAAGAACACACAAATGAGAAAACATCTAAAGGAAGTCTAAAGATGATAGTCTATCTCCTTTTCCAAAGTCTTTGTCATTTATTTATGAGGTCAAATGAAACAAAGAGAATGATTCAAGATGAATCATCAACTACATCCATGCACTGACGAAGAATGGCGATATCAACATTCTAAAGATTATTCAAGTGAAGATTTTGAAGATTTCTTTAAACAAGGAGTTTCCAGCGACTACTTTCAAGGAGTTAGTTCATCTTGTTGGATTATGTCGTCTCAAACATTTAGACGGGTGTTCTCATGAGGGGGAGTAATTATGCGCTGCACTCTTTTTCCTTAGCTAAGGTTTTTCCCTTAGGGTTTTCCTAGTAAAGGTTTTAACGAGGCAGCACCTTATGTATTTAGAATATATTTTTGTATAATGGACATCCAAGGGGGAGTGTTATGGGTAAGTGGATGCCCATTAGTTCCATAGGTGGATGTCCATTAGGCCCACTTCTCCCCAATGTTGATTTCCCTTGGAACCCTACTATGTACTCTATATAAAAGCTCTTCCCTCATGAATAAGACAACCTTCATTCTCTCATTTCACAACAAACTATGTTTTTTTTTTTTTTTCATAACGCATTATTAGAAACCAAAAGCGTTAATGGTTTTAATGGTTTTTGCAGCACCTGCTCGGTGACGAAAATTTTGAGGATGATTATTGATATTTTCTTCCTGGGTTGGTCTGTGGTGTTCTTATGGTTTTTTGTTAGCAACTACTCATCTCTAGATCATACTAGTCCACTCTTCTGGTAAACAAATTCTACAATTATATCTCCTAATTAAAAACATAATCCACTTCTCTAGCTAATATAATTAACGTTTATTATTTCATTTATCTTCTTGCAGGTTAAGTGTGGCATTCCTTGCTTTCAGCTTCATCCGATATGTGCTTCTTGATCTTATAATTGCAGCGCTGTGTTGCTGTATGTCTATGGCGTTATGTATCAGCCTCCTTCGGGTATATATTACACCCAATGGAACGCGTATCCGCGGATAAACATGATGGATCATGCTTGTTGTTAATTTCTTGCTTATTTTGTTCAAGAAATGTAATACTACTCTATGTTTTTCTTTTATCCCCCGTTTAAGTAATGTTTCAGCTGATAGCTTAGCTAAATCATCTCTGTTGCGTCATGCGTGTAAACTCTTGCTCCATTGATGGAGTTTGAGCTTTTATCTATAAAAGTCTCTTTTGTTATAAAAGAAAGTGTCATTTAATAAAATATCTCTTGTTGAAAAATCGCTGAGCGACGTCAAAAACTCAAAACTAAACTATGGCCAGATCAAACTTAATCGTGTTAAGAGCATGAAAAAGGTTTATAAAATTATGGCCATATCAAACCGAATCGTGTTTCCGGTTTGAAATTGGTCTGTACCTTATATCATTAGTTTTGATAGTTGAAAGTTCAAAGCAGTGGACGTGCCGGAGTGGTTATCGGGCATGACTAGAAATCATGTGGGCTTTGCCCGCGCAGGTTCGAATCCTGCCGTTCACGTTTTTATAATTGTCTTATTTTTATCCTCTTCTTCTTCATCTTTTTGTCGTCACTCTCGTCCAGTGTTTTTTCCCGTCCCGCCTATATTTTACCCTAAAACTTTTATTAATTGATACATTTGATACCGAATCCCGCTTTACCCAAATTTTCAATTTTCAAAACCCAAACCACTCTGTCTCTCTCTCTCTCGCTCTCTCTCTCTCTTTCTCGATCTCTCTCGGCGTCTAACTGAAGTCCAATCGGCCGAGAATTTTCCGGTATTTTAGATGGCTGATCTGAGCCGGAGCTCAAATTTAGAGGAGGACCCCTTACATGCTTACTCAGGTCTGTCGTTGTTTCCTCGTACGCTGAAATCCTTGTCGAATCCTCTTCCTCCTCCCAATTATCAATCAGACGATCTGCAGCAGACTCACACTCTCCTTGAATCTATGGTAAGTTCTTCCTTCTTAATCTGCTCGATACCTTAATTTGATGCATTATCTAGGGTTCGTTTGCTCAGTGAGTAATTTCGGAGAGGATTCGAGTCGGTAATTTGACGGTTATGAAATCAATTCAAAATTTGGCTAGTAAAATCGTATTCCTGCTTCGTTTCCGCTTCGTGTGTGTTCCCAAGTGGCAGAGATTGGGTTTTTGTTTGATAGAGAGCCGGATGTATGAGCGCTTGCATAATTTTCAGGTTCTCTTCAAAATCTGTGTAAACTGCAATTATTTAGCAATTACCCAGAAAGTAGAAGTCTGATGCTTAAGCTGTATATAATGAATTATATGAAAAGTGATTTTTGGCCTAATTTTTGGTTTCGAGGCTTCTCTTCGTTTTAGTTGTTAAGAAATGCATAACGAGATTTAAATGACACACTGCAGTATTCGTTATATCATTTGCCGGTGTGTTTTCCGTTTTAGTTTCCCCTGACATATCGAATATAGTTTCTCATACTGAGCTATCATCCGCTGTCAAATCCTTGTCTTCTATCTCACAGCCTTTTGAAATTCAACAAGAGCATCAGGAGCAGGCAAAGGCTATCTTAGGTGAAAGCTCAGAGCTTTTAAAGCAAGGCACTGGAACCAGTGTAGCATCCGAAGATGCGAATAAAGGTGTGAAGAACAACAAACGAGAAAGAAGACCTGCATTAGAACGTGAGCGGAAACACTTTACTCTCAAGGCTCCGACAAGGTAAAATTCAGTATAGCTACTGATCCATTGATTTAGTATAGCTACTAGCGAGTTCACTTATCTTTCTTTATTATTTCATCTGATTCCTATACAAAGTAAGTTGAAGCCTATAAATATTCTTGTTGCAGTCAACAACCTCAAAATGAACCAACCTTTGATGCTAGTAAATATCCAAAACCTGACGATTTCTTTGCTGCGTACGAAAGATATCAAAGTGAGTTATATACTTTTCTGATGTTCATAGCCTTACCTTGTTTGTTATATAACTATCATTCATATATGTTTTCTTTTTGCTGGATTTGAAATAGATGCCCATCGAGAATGGGAGAAGCAGACTGGCGCCGTTGTAACAGATACACACCAGAACCAGCCATCAAAGCCTCCTCGCAGACCCGAAATTCCAGGGTATGTACTACAAGCAACTCTGTTACTGCATGTTTCAGAGATTGCATATTTTGCTATCTGTTTTCCTTGATACTTACAACTCCAAATTCCAGGAGAAAACGGGGTTCATACAAGAATACTTATACGGATAGTTATTTCACTGACCTGAATACTTCAGAAAAGGAAAACCCCATTCCTTCTGAACAAAGCTTAGAGAGGACCGCAGCTGCACATGATACGACTGCGGACAGAGAAGTAGATGGTGAGTGAGCACTTGTAGTAGAAAAGATTGTTATGAGCTACCATTTTGTTAGATCATACCATCCTTTTGTTAAATCTGATAGCTTGAGCCATTTTGTTCTGCAGATTCAACCGTAGACGCAGACAAGAACTTAAAGAATATTTTGACTGAGTTGCTTTCTTGCTCTCCGGATGAGCTTGAGGGGGATGCTGGTGTCAAGCTTTTGAATGAACGCTTGAATATCAAACCCGTTGATAAAGAAATGCTTTCCTTCCCTGAAGTTCCTGACTTTCCAGATGTTAGAAGAATGGACTTGAAGGCATCTGGAAGGAACCCATCAAACCAAAGGACTGCGCTGTCAAATATACAGAATTTGCCAAAAGGGATCAATAGTGATGCAGCTCGAAAAGATAGCATGTCATCATCATCAATTCCACCAGAGGATCACATTTCAGTTCCTGAGAGTCATTATTTGGTTCCAGGAGATCGACAGTCTAGAGAGGTTGATTTAGTAAAGGATTTGAATGCCGGTTTCAGATCTTCAGTGGCCAACAATGTCGATAAAGTTATAACTAGTGCATCCCCGTCTAATTTGGACACCTCATACGTCGCCAGCGATTTTAACAGCTCTGTGCAGAAGAGTTCCTGTAAAGATGGTTCTGATACTCATTCTGGCATCCATAGATCTCATTCAGGTCCAGTTGGGGACGCAGATAATTGTGTGGACGATGGCATTACAAACAGAGATTCAGTCACACTAGAGGTGAATGTAGATATGCAGACAAAAGGAAATGAGATAGATGTGCCCGTGAGTGAAAGTGAAGCAAACAGAAACACTGGAAGAAGAAAAAACGATTCTGATATCAATGAAGGAACTGAACTATTAGACAACCTGGTTAGTTTCTCCTTGATTGTACATGACCTTTTATTAACATATCTGGACCTCTCGTTGGTCACATTCTCTTGTGAATTTATCTGTGATATAGGCGGAATATGCATCTAAAGAGGCTGCAAGAATGGATCCTTTCACTGTAGAAGAGGATAACATCTCAGATCAGCAAGGTAATCTAACCTTTTCGACCTGCTTACTATAGTGAAAACTCAAAAACTAAGCAAGCAAATTAACATATCTCCCAACTTTACTAGTACATACTTTTCATTAACAATCTCAATTCACTTAAAAAAAATTGTCTCAAAGATTTTTATTATGCCTTTATTTTGCCTGCAGATGAATCCTCAAAATCTCCAAACAGAGCTCCAGAACAATACAACACAATGGATGGATCCGTTGAACATGCAGAGCACATTCAAGGTCAACATGGCGAGGAAAAGGACAACACAGACACAGCTTGTGGGCTTCAAGAAGTAAATGCTCAGGTTAGTTCCCCTTCTCCTTCATTGTCTGTTCTTTTCAGTCAAGGCCAATTCATCTATACGTGGTCTCAGATTGTTAAACTCGGCCATCTTTTCTATATATGTTTATCCTTTGCAAATCGCGTAAGGTTTTTCTCTGAATGCTAGATCCTTATTTTAAAATCCATGATAAAAATTACACACTGAACCGAACATTCGTTGGATTTGATTTCTTTAGGCTAGTTCTTACTTAACAAAGACGAATATAAGAGTTCTTTATTGACTTCTTTTTCAGCAGGAGGTTCACAGCTCTTCTCAGAAACAAACAAGTGAACGAAGAAAGAGAGGAGGATCTAGTGATAGCAATATGAAAAAGCGAAGCAAAACCGTGCATAATGAGAGCGAGGGAGACAAGCGAATGGAAACTGTCACACGTGACAGTGGAGCAAAGAAGCAACCCAAAAGAAATTCGAACGAGAGAGAAGAGAAGAAGAAGAACCAAATGAAAAAAGTAACACGCGAGGGTAAAATATTCTCTCGTAGGAAAAGCCTTGCAGGTACATAGAAACTTAACTCCAATTGCTCATTCTTCTTGAAAGCTCTATCGATTGAAAATACTAAACCTGACACTTAATGTTTGTTTGTTTTGCCTCTCTATCTCTCTCTCTCTCTCTCTCTCTCTCTCTCTCAGGTGCTGGTACTAAATGGGATTCTGGTGTGAGACGAAGTACAAGGATCAAGTCGAGACCACTTGAATACTGGAAAGGTGAAAGATTCTTGTTCGGACGCATTCACGAGAGTAAGTCGCATATTCTTTTATTTACCACATTGATTTTTTAATCTTTGACTGTTTTTGTGTATTCATAATTCCTCTTTTGTGTTTCTCCAAAGGTTTGACTACTGTGATCGGCATAAAGTATGCAACTGCATCACCAGACATGAAGGGCAGGAGGGAAAAGCAGCGAGATATGAATGTCAAATCATTTGTCTCAGATGAGTACAAAGAGCTGCTTGATTCGGTCGCTTTGCATTGAATAAGAATTATGTAAAAAATCCTAGGAGTCATAAGTGATCAAATTTGCATCCTCTTTTGATCATAACTCTCTAATGATGGTGCTTTTGTGTCTGACTTGGGTCCAAACTTGTCACTGTCTTTCATTTAAACCGCAACTGTTTTAGACTCTCGAAAACGGAACCTGTAGTTTCAACTTTCAAACGGTCGTCTCCAGTTTCGATATTACTTGTCAAGTTGTCACATTGATTTAGTCTCAAAGTCTTTGGTATTCTTTTAAAGGCACTATTTGTCCCCACCTCTCTCTCGCTTAAAAGCCGCCTTGACCTTTGTCATAATCTCTTATTCAAATCTAGTTACTGTAAGTTAACTGAGGGTGGTTATTTGATTCAAACTGAATTAACCAAACCAAAAATCAAATAGTGGGTCAACAAAAACCGAATTTTCTTCTAATAGTTCATGACTCTATAAACTTCAAACTCGAGAAAAAAATGAATTGTCTCCGTGGAACTGGGACATAAATAAATACACTTTGCTACTTACATTCAGCTGTTTAGACATTTTTTACTTGGAACTCTAAATTCGTCCAACCTTGATCCACTTTTCTTGGATCGTGTCGCGAATATATAAAAACTGAGCTGAGTACAGTTCTAATGTTTTGATAGAAGTAGCACCTTTACTTTTTCACTAACATTTTACTTTTCAGGTAAATGCTAATCTTGGCAAGAACCCACAAATTTGGAAGAACATAATTAAAATTTGACGATACTACTTTTTTTATACGCCTGAAATTGTCTATGCGAATAAAAGTATTTAAATAGCAACTGAGTAAATCCGCCTCTGTCTATAGTCACCACCTTTCTCGAAGTTCGCCGTCCGGCTTTTACGCTTGACTTCAGGATTAGCCTAACAGAAACAATGAGACAGAAAAATGCTCGATCCTTTCAAAATTATCTCACTAATTTTACTGTTAATCCAAGAGATACACGTCACCAAATTGGATAACGATGCAAATAAAATAAATGTATAAAACCAAAATACAAGTTGATGGAATTCACGGGATATCTACAACTTTATCAAAATCAATATGATGTCGACCGTACAAAACAAATATGGGTCGTCCTTTTGTCACGTACAATGTAAATAGTTAAAAACTATCACGTATTCTGCTGACTAAAGAAAAATGAATTGAACAGTTTTTTACTCTTTTTTGTCGTCGACGTATTCTAGATTTTAAAATCTTAATTCAGTCTCATTCTTATGTCAATAAATATTTTTATTTTGTTTTACTTGCTTGTTTTTTTTTTTTTTTTTTTTTTGGTTTTAAACTTGCTTGTTTTTTTATCTATGATGATTCACTTTTTGTTTATTGCGTTGACATGAAAAACCAGCCGACTATGCTTTCCTTTAGGATATCGACACCTGAATATCGCTTGTTATTTTCCAATTATTGTAAGCTAAACGCCGTGTCGTTTTTTCCAACGCTTCGCAGCCAGCTGCCGTGCCGTTTCGCTTTCCTTGTGTTCCATTGTGTGCATCGTCATATCAGTTCATAGCTTCAAAATCAAAATATATGAAAAGCAAAAGATTAGTATGTTGCGACTTTTGTGAATCTCAAGATTCTCAACGGGATGGTCTAGAGTCTAGACTAATGGTAAAATCATAAATGAGGTATGAGGATATGGGAGAGTGGGGTTATCAAACTTTTTTTTCTTCCTCTTATTTAATGACATTTTGTATGGAAATAAATGTATGAAACTATTGAACTCACAGTATAATGCATACGGATATGTTCGTGGACTTGGAGATGCGGTGGACCATCATAGAACGAGTCCAAGTTGCATGGAACATACCACTTCCCCAAATTATTTGCATTATTTCATAATTATGTTTCGTACATCATTATCGGTGAAAACATTACTTGCGGAGGATTATCACGACTCTGATGGTTTTTTCTTTTATTGTGAGACATCCCACATTATTGAAACTAATCTTCACTGTTCGAGATATAATTAAAGTTTAACCTAACTTATTCCTTTTTTGTCACAGGATTCAACCTAATTTATTCAATGGAAGAACGTTATTCTCTTAACCATCGTATATGATCTATATTGTTATCAATTTATTAACACACTTTATCATCTTTGATGCCTCACAGCAAAATAAAGAAAAAACACAGAATCATAATTAAAAATAATAAATAAAGGAAAACAAAGTGGAAGGGAGGAACCCTCGAATAACAATAAATCAATAGTACAATTGAAAACAAGTCACAGAAATTAGGATATGCTAACAAAAATAATGTTTTCGTTTGATTGGGTCTAGTTGAACACATGTCACAGAAATTAGGATATGCTAACACGGAATCAAGAAGGTACATTAAGGCGACATTAAAGAGCCAAGCTCTTGTCGTTGTCATTGACTATATATGTTTTGTGATAAAACATTTTTTTTAAGTTAGGAGATGCCGTTTTAATAGTATAGATACATATGTATCGTATTAAAAGGTTATCATTTGTTATAAGTAGGCATAACTCAAACGTGTCTTGTTACTCTTGTACAACATTATATTAATGTGTTCAATTTCTACTACCAAGCGTGAGATTTCTCTAAGACAAAACAAATGGTTGTAAAGGAATCATTTTATTTTGATAAAGAAGCTCTAAAGAGATTTCTAATCGAATATTAAGCATAGTTTAGAATTTGTTTTATTTTCGTAAATGAACAAACTTTGGCTATTATTGATAACTACACTATTTTTTATTTAGCAGTAGCCATTAACAACAGTCTTTATATATCCTATATATGCTTAATTAGAAAACGTATATAAAAGGCATCTATAAAGCAAACAACAGCTAAAAAGATGAAACGTTCAATGTTCGGACAGGACAGAAAAATTGTTTTGGTTAAAGCCAAAGCTAACAGATGTATGATAGAGTAGGAACGGAATGACCATGGAAAGAAAAAACTTAAAACTAATCAAATGGTGATTAGTTGTTCTTATTTTGTATACCTATATATGTATGATGTATCCCAAAATTTTATAATACTTTGTGCTTATAAGCCGTAAAAATGCTCTGGCTAAATCTATATGATCAAAACTTAACTATCATATTTACAAATTCTACTACCAAATTGGAAGTTAAACTATGCCACAATGATCATAATAATACAAACCTTCATAAATAAATCGTTTATTGATATTGATTGATATAATAATATACTACTTTCTCCGTTTCGAAATACTTATCGTTCTAGCCTTATTTTTATTTTTTAAAATAGTTGTCGTTCTCATTTTCTAATGCAAATTTTAGTATTAAATATATATTTTAGTTTTGATCTAATAAAGAATACTAATAGTCAATTTGCTTTTAAGGATATAATAGAACTTTTAATTTATTTTATTAATGTGCGTGAAATCTCTTAAAATAACAAATAAAAGGAAATGGAGGAAATATTGATTATGGACTTTATGGCTACTAGCATATAATGTATGGATGGCTATTGGTTAGCATGTCTTAGTGAATAATTAAGCCACATGGGATCACATGGACCTTCGTTAAACAATTTCGAATATTTTAACTACTATATTCTGTAATCTAGCTAGCATTGATTTAGATCTTTGCATTGTATATACATTCTTAATATTTTATTTGTCTCCGTTCAAGCTCGGACGTACGTGGTATAATAACACTGTTTTCAGTTACACGTCATTTAAAGATTCTTTTAACTGCTTACACACTCTTTGGTAATTAGGGGACACGGTGACGTTAATCTCACGTCGAACATCTTAAATCCTATCTCTACTCACCAAGAGGTCGGTTAATTAACATATCATCTCCTTATATGTACGTAAATTTTCGAATTAAATACACAATTAGTCGACAATTGATCCCAAAGAATAAGACATGTGGAGCCTGATTAATTAATCAGTAAAATAGACAGTTAGAATAACAGACTTTCCTTTAGCTAATGAGATTGCTTACAAAACTGTGGCAAATCAGAATCATCCGGCCATCACAATCATTCAAGTCAAAGATCGGTACAACGTCTCCATCCAAAATAAACAAAACAAAAACCGCACATTATTTCTATTAACCGATCGTTACTATCTCCTGAATTCCGTTATCGTCTTCTTTCGGTGAAAGTTTCAAATACGTTTATGGAACAATCTTATGTATTTCTCCAAAATGAAAGAGTTCTGAAAGCAAAAGAATTCGAACAACGTATAACTTTTCCTTTTTATGAAAAAAACGTAACCCTTACGCTTCTATAACTTAATTCACATCTCTCGTCTAACCATTTTACTTGTCCTTGGAATAATGAAAAACATATTAACACAAATTAACCATATTTTAGCTATCCATAAATCAACCCATGTGTATTCATTATTCAATCAACACAAAACACAACCAAATAAAAGTTGTATATTATTGAATTAAATATTCCACTTACGGTTTCTATCTTCTAGAAGACTTTATCTCCTCTATAAAGTGGCCACACTCTTCTCTCTCTCACATCATTCATAATTTCATATCCCAACCTGAATATTTTCTTTCTAAAAATATCAAACTTTCTCTCTTTCATTTTCATTTCATCTTCAAATCTATATCACCATGGAGCTTATCCCTGATCTCCCCGAAACCGTAGCACGCGAGTGTCTCATACGCGCCTCATACCAGCAATTCCCTCTGATCGCATCCGTTTGCAAACTCTGGCAGCGAGAAATCAGCCTCCCTGACTTTTTCCGTCACCGGAAAGATTCAGGCCATAGCCAGGAGCTTGTTGTCTTGTCTCAAGCCCGGGTCGAGCCGGTTTCAGAACTCGGTTTGGGGAAAGCCATCCCGACGCCCGTGTACGGAGTCTCGGTTCATGAGTTAGATTCCGGTCTGTGGACCGAGCTTCCTCCGTTTCCCGGTAAATCCAACGGATTGCCTCTGTTTTGCAGATTGGCTTCTGTCGGATCTGATCTTGTTGTTTTGGGCGGGCTTGACCCGGTCACGTGGCGGACCTCTGATTCGG